GTGGTCTACCGATGGCGAATCGGCCTGTGCTACCAACGCTTCGTGGTCCTGCTTTGGCAAGACAACCAACCCAAGTGCGGCAGCCTTGGCCGTGACGTGTTCCACAGATGGCGAGTCAGCATTCGCAGACAATACCTTGTGGTTATCCTCTGACAAGACGACCAAGCCAAGAGCGGCCGCCTTCTCAGATAAGTGCTCGACAGAAGGAGATGTAACCTTAGTAAGCAACTCTTCATGTTCAGCCTTTGGTAAAATGACTGAGCCCAAAGTTTCCGCCTTCTCGATGAGGTGGTTTAAAGACGGAGCATCTGCCTTGGAGACCAACTGAGAGTGAGCCTCCTTTGATAATGCGACCAAGCCAACAGTATCTGCCTTCAGCATAAGGTGATCCGCAGAGGGAGATTCAGCCTTGGAGACCAAATCAGCGTGCTCTTCCTTGGCTAAAACCACCATACCAATAGTATCAGCCTTGTCAGAAAGGTGCTGGAAGGATGGATTATCCACTTTATCTACTAAAGCATTGTGTGACTCCTTCTCTATCATAACGTAGCCGGCAGCACCGGCCTTATCCGTGAGGTATTCAACAGTTGGAGACTGCATCTGGTGCAACACACCAGTGTACTCATCCTTCGGCACGAGAGACATACCTAACGTAGCTGCCTTCTCAGTGATATGATCAATGTTCGGTGAATCGGCCTTGGAGACTAACTCAGAGTGAGCGGCGAGTGGTAAGACAGTCATACCGACAGCAGCAGCCCTCTCAGTCAAATGCTCCAACGATGGAGCGTGGGCCTGGGCAACCAATGCCTCGTGGGCTTCTTTGGGAACGGTAACCAACTCAAGACCCTCAGCTTTCGCTGAAAGGTACTCGGCAGTCGGAGATTCCACTTGCTGTAGCAAGTCGGAGTGGGCTTCCGCTGGCAAAACCACCAATCCGAGAGCCTCAGCCTTCGAAGTGACGTGCTCTACTGATGGAGATTCAGCCTGGCCCATCAACACAGCGTGTGCATCCTTCTGCAAGACAACCATACCAAGATCATCAGCCTTAGAGCTAAGATGCTCAGCCGTAGGAGCCTCTGCCTTGGAAGCCAACATTTTGTAGTCATCCTGGGTCATTACAACCATGCCAAGAGTGGCCGCCTTCTCAGATATGTGCTCGACAGAAGGAGTGGAGACTGTAGCAAGCAACTCTTCGTGTTCAGCCTTTGGTATAATGACTGAGCCCAAAGTTTCTGCCTTCTCGGTGAGGTGGTCTACCGATGGCGAATCGGCCTGTGCTACCAACGCTTCGTGGTCCTGCTTTGGCAAGACAACCAACCCAAGTGCGGCAGCCTTGGCCGTGATGTGTTCCACAGATGGCGAGTCACTGTTGGAGACTAATTCGTCGTGGACTTCCATCGGCATGACTGCAAGGCCAAGGGCATGGGCCTTCGAGGTGACATGGTCAGCTGAAGGCGCAGTGGCATGGCCAACCAAATTCGAGTGTTCTGTCCCGGACAAGACGACATGGCCAAGTGCAGCAGCCTTGGAGGTGATGTGGTCGATAGTCGGAGCATCAGCCTTGGATGCCAATTCAGAGTGGGCTTCGTCCGCCAACACCACCATACCAAGAGCGGCAGCCATGGAAGAAACATGGTCAGCTGACGGGGAATCGATCTGGCTTTTCATCGCATCATAGTCGTTTTTCAGTAACACGACAAGTCCGAGGTCAGTGGCCTTGGACGTGATGTGCTCCGCGGAAGGTGAGTCAGCGTTAGTCTTCAATCCTTTGTGGGCTTCCTTGGATAATACAACTAACCCGGCAGTGTCAGCCTTGGAAGAGATGTGTTCGACCGATGGGGTATCAGCATTTTCCTGTAACTTATCGTGAGTCGTCTTTGCTATCACAACATAGCCAAGATCGGCTGCCTTTGCTGTAATACGATCGACCGATGGAGAGTCAGCATGGAGGACCAAGTCACTGTGGACTTCCTTGGGCAAAACAACATAGCCAGAAGCATTTGCTTTGGCAGTAAGGTGCTCCACGGATGGGGCATCGGTATTCATCTGCAACTCAGCGTGAGCTTCCTTAGGCAACGCCACTAAACCAAGCGCTTCTGCCTTCGCAGTTACATGCTCGACCGACGGAGAATCAACTTGGTTCAAGAGTGCAGTATGCTCATCCTTTGGTAACACAGTCAATCCAGCGGCATCCGCCTTGGACGTCAAGTATTCAACCAACGGAGAATCAACTTGGTCCACAAGCGCAGTATGCTCATCCTTAGACAACGCCACCAAGCCAAGCGCTTCTGCCTTCGTAGTTACATGCTCGACCGACGGAGAATCAACTTGGCTCACAAGCGCAGTATGCTCATCCTTTGGTAACACGGTAAACCCGGCAGCATCCGCCTTGGACGTCAAGTATTCAACCGATGGAGAATCAACTTGGTTCAAGAGTGCAGTATGCTCATCCTTTGGTAACACGGTCAACCCAGCGGCATCCGCCTTGGACGTCAAGTATTCAACCGACGGAGAATCAACTTGGTCTACAAGCGCAGTATGCTCATCCTTAGACAACGCCACCAAGCCAAGCGCTTCTGCCTTCGTAGTTACATGCTCACTCGAAGGAGAGTGGGCGAGATCAACCAACTCGGTGTGCGTCTCCTTTGTCAAGACAACGTGGTCAAGAGCAGTGGCCTTAGAAATAACACGGTCTATGGACGGAGACTCAGCGTTGGCAAGTAAAACCTCATGAGCCTCCTCTGTCAAAGCAACCAACCCAAGGCCAGCGGCCTTAGAGTGGATATGCTCAGCGCTTGGAGAGTCAATCTGGTGCAACATACCGGTGTGTATGTGCTCTGGCAACACCACCAAGCCAAGATCAGCAGCCTTGGAAGTGACATAGTCAGCCGACGGGGAGTTGATTTGCTCCAACAACTCGGCATGCGTGTCATTTGGCAACACAACTACACCAAGTTCAGTGGCCTTAGCACGGATGTGGTCAAGTGATGGGGCGTCGGCCTTGGCCAACAACTCCTCGTGGACTTCCTTAGGCAACAAAACGTGACCAGCAGCTTCTGCCTTGAAGGTAAGATGGTCAACCGATGGATCATCAGCATTCTTCTGTAGCTCAGCGTGTGCCTCCTTAGACAACACCACCAATCCAAGACCGGTAGCCTTGGCGGTCACATGGTCCACTGATGGGGAGTTGGCAGTCGCCATCAACTCTTCGTGGGTACTCTTTGGCAAAACAACCATACCACGGACATCCGCACTAGTAGTGATGTGGTCAACAGAAGGAGACTCAGCCTTATCAACCAATTCGGCGTAAACGGTCTTGTCTAACACTGCCATATCAAGGGTCTTGGCATTCTGTACAATGTAAGCCCTGGAAGGGTTCTCAAGTCTGGTCATCAAGCTGTTGAACTCGGCCTTTTCGACCACAACGTGGTCAGAGTCGCTTGCCTTTTCGGTCAAGTGCTTCAAGGAGGGGCGGTTGGCCCTTTCCAACAAATCGTCATACTCGTACTTGTCAACCGCAACCAACCCGTAATGCTGGGCCGATTCGGTCACCACATCCTTCGGAGGCTCTGCGGCTCTGGACATCAAGCTCTTGTGCTCCGTAGCTGCCAACAATGCAAAGCCTGCCGCAACAGCCTTGGCCTTCAAATGGTCAGCGCTTGGGTTTTGGGCGTCTTTAACAAGTGTTTCGTGGTCATCCTGGTCGAGAACCACAAGCTGGGCCGCCAGTGCCTTCTCAAACAAGTACTCGCGGGACGGAGCCTCTATCTTCGAAAGAAGAGCGTCATGCTCATGGGTTGGAAGCACCACCATGCCACAGCTTTTCGACTTTTCCGTCAAGTACTCCACTGTCGGAGCCGAAAGAGACTGTCTCAACCCATTCAACTCAGCGTTTGACACGACAGCGAGGTCAATCTTGGCAGCCAGGGCAGCAACCTCTTCCTCGGATGGATGCTCAAGCCTGGCAATCATGGCCTCGTAAACAGCAGCATCCGTAACAGCAAAGCCCAAGGTATCTGCTAATTCGCGAAGTCTAGGCTCCGAAGAAATAGCGTTGGTCTCAAGAGTACGGTAATCTCCTTGGTTCAACACCACCAAATCAAGAACTGCCAGTTTCTCTTTGATATGCTCCACCGTAGGGGTGGTTGTCGTTGCGAGCAATGTCGCGTACTCGCCGTCTTCTAAAACAGTCAAGCCGAGCTTCTGCCCGGCTTCCATTACCTCAGCAGATGTCGGAGAGTGAAGTGCTCTCTCCATTTCACCGTACACCTCTCTATCCGTCACCACAAGACCGATGTCGGACGCCTTAGTCTCAAGGTAGGACTTACTTGGATGAAGTAAATCCTCCTGTAGGGTGTTATAGTCGTGTTTCGATACAATCAACAGGCCCTTGGCATCTACAAGCGTTTCAATAAGTTCATCCGATGGGTGGGATGCGTCATGAAGAAGCTTGGTGTGCACCTCAGAAGGTAAGGCGACTAAACCAAGCGGCATTGCCCAATCGTGGATGTTTGAGCTGTCAATAGCCTCTGTGTCGATCATCCTACTGAACTGATCCAGGTCAATAGCAACCAACCCAAGACCGGTAGCCACCGAAGTGACATAATCCTGGGAGGGATGGTGGACCTTGGAGACCAAGTCGTCGTGGTCTGACTTGTGCACCACAACATGGCCAAGTTCAACCGCACGGGACTGAAGCTTGTCCAAGGATGGCGCGTTAGCCCGACCCAACAACTCTGCATGGCTGTTCTCATCAAGCGTAACCAAACCAAGTAAAGCAGCCTTCTCGGTGATATGTTCGGCGGACGGAGAGTCTGCCTTCTCGACCAAAGTCGCGTGGTCCTTTTTCTCTAAAGCAACGAGGTTATGTGAGTCAGAGTGGGAAATGACGTATTCCCTAGTTGGCTTGGAAATCTGGTGCAACAAAGCATCGTGAGCGGACGTATCAAGGGTGACTAAGCCAAGCAGAGCGGCCTTTTCAGTAATATGCTGCTTAGAGGGAGCTTCTGCCTTTGCAACAAGCTCAGCGTGCTCCTCAGCCGTCAATGGAACCAAGTTCTGGGCCTTGCAGTTGGTCTCGATGTACTGCAAAGAAGGATGTTCGAGCTTATCAACCATCGCTTCGTATTCAGCCTTCTTCAAAGCAAGTAAGCCAACAGACAGAGCCTTCAGGGAAATATAATCGGAAGTAGGGTTCTCAATTTGGGCCAACAAAGATACATGGTCAGGGGTTGGAAGCACCGTCTGGCCCTGAGATGTTGCGTGCTCAACAATGTACGCCAAGGAGGGAAACTTGATCTGCAGAGTGAGGCTCTGGTGTTCATCAGCGGGCAACAAAACGTGGTCATTCGAGTGGGCCATTTCAGCAATATGCTTAAGCGTAGGATGTTCGGCCTTGGATTGTAAGGCGTTGTATTCGGATTTTGGAACGGCAACCATGTTCAACTCCTGGGCCCTCGATGTAAGCATTTCTGCTGTTGGATTATGCGCTCTTTCGGAAAGATTGTGGTGATCGCTCTTCAGGAGAATCACAAGGCCCATCTTCTTTGAGATGGCATCCGCGAACTCTGGACTTGGATTCTCGGTGTTTTGCACTAAAGTCGAGTACTTTGAGGAATCGACGGCGATCAAACCGTGGTCATTAGCCTTGGCCTTGATATACTCAGCGTCCGGAGACTCAATCTGTCTGACTAAAGCGGCATGATCTTCGACCGGCAAAGTCATTAGGCCGTGTAGGGAAGCCTTGGAGGAGAGATGATCCTGGTCAGGGTTGTGCGCAAGCTCACGTAACTCTGAGTGATCCTTGGCCGACAACACCACACAGCCGTGCAACTGGGACTTTGCCGTAAGATACTCGTGCGATGGATGGGCCATCTCGTCGACCATTTTCTCATGCTCAGCCGTAGGCAACAAGCTCAACTCCATCGCCGCAGCCTTTGCTTGCAAGTATTCTACAGACGGACTCTCGAGCTTAGAAACCATAGAGTCGTGTTCCTTCTGCAACCCTGTAAGTTGGGACTGGGAGACCGCAAGCTCCGACTGAATTCCTACGAGTTGAGCGTGCTCTCTCTCAAGCTCAGAGTGTAAGTCGTCAAGCCCGGCCTGCGGAACTGTGGTGAGGCCCAAGGCGGAGGCCTTGGAAACAATAAAGTCTGCGGATGGCAGTTCAAGCTGGCTCAACATGGACTGATAATCAGACGCAACCACAGTGGCAAATCCATACTGGGAAGCTTTCTCAAGAATGTACTCCTCGGCCGGGTTGGCGTACTGGTCAGCAAGCGCTTGGAGCTTGGAGTGCTGGTCTAACGGCAACGACACAAAGCCCTTCGTCAGCAACTTCATGAGCAAGTCTTCCTCTGTTGGGTCGGTCAAACGGTCAATCTCTGCCTTCAAGCGGGCCAACTCCGTCAGCGGCAAGACAGTCATACCAAACTCGGTTGCCCTGTCCCTGATATAGTCCTCCGTTGGATGATCGTAGTGTTCAGCAGATTGTTTTAACTGGTCGAAATCGGAGGTATCGATAGCGATTAATTGGCGGGATTCCGCATGCGCCAAAAGGTACTCACGAGAAGGTGCTTCGTGTTCTGAGACAATGGATTTGAGCCCTGAGTGCTCGTCGGTGCTCAAAAGCACCAACCCTTCGTTCTCGCAGTACTGGGAGACAAACTCCGCCGGGTGGTTGAATTGCTCCACCACGTCCTTCATTTTGGCATGTTCCGCAGATGGTACGAGGACAAGACCAAGAGTAGCGGCACTGGTTTCGATGTAGGATTGGGACGGCTGGGCGTAAGCAGTGGCAGATGCTATCAAACTACTATGCTCTTCCTTTGGTAAAAGCACAAACGAGTTGTTCTCGGCGTTGGACCTGAGGTAGTCGATACTTGGATGCGAGAGGGAGTGCAATAACTCGGCGTGTTTAGCCGAAGGAATGGCCACCAAGCCGTGGGAAGCGGCGTTGTCACGGATGGTCTTCTCGGATGGAGACTCCGCGAGGGACTTGAGCTGAGAATGCTCCGTCACAGGCAAGGCAACCAATTTGTGAGAGGAAGCATGCTTAGTGATGAACTCGCTTGATGGAGTTTCGGCCGTAGACTTAAGTTCAGCGTACTCAGAGGTCGGGATAGCGACCAAACCATGGGAGGCAGCCCTGTCGAGAATGAATTGCTTCGAAGGAGCTTCGGCAATAGCCTTCATCTTCGTATATTGGGCAGCCGCCACAGCCACTAGATTGTACTCCTTCAACTTTTCCACGAGCTGCTGTTCAGACGGGAAGGCCAACGTGTTGTACTGCTCCTGCGGGATGACGGTCAAGCCGAGCTGACCGGCGCTGTATAACAAGCCGTCCTTCGTCTTATAATTAGCCTCGAATTTCGCAAAGTCGGCGCTCAGAACGAGCTTAATGTCGTGCTTTGCGGCGTACTCCTCCACGTCAGCGCGCTCCACGACAACCGCGGCGCCACGCAACTCGGCGGACAACGGCTTGCGCGCCTCGAACTCAAAATCAGACTCCGATTCCGAGGACGAATTAACCACCTTAGTCCCCTTATCATTGTAGAACTCCCAGTTCTTGTCGCCGTCATCGAACTCAAAGTCCAGTGAGACATTGAACTTCTTGGCCAGCGTGTTTGGCAAAAGCACAGCGGAGGTGTGGGTCGGGGTCTGGAGTTCTTTCTTGGTGGATCGATGGCCCCGCTTGATGGAGGACGTGTCACCCGAGATTTGCGCACCTAGCAATTTCTTTTCCAAGTCCTCCTTCTCGATCTTCTGTTTCAATAACGCACTGCGGTATTTGATGATAATTTTGTGCGAGTGCTGTAACGACGCCTGTAACGTTTCGGTCTCCAATGCCTGGTTGCGGGAGGCTTTCCTGGTTGGCGATGGTGGTGGCTGGCTCAAAAGCTCGTCAATATCAACATCCTCGTCAAAGTCGTAGTACGACAAATCTGGCGGAGCCAGCACCGGGACAGTAGCTGGCTGTGACTTGGTTTCGGCGAGCTCCTTCCAGTCTGACACCTTCTTGTGCAATGCGTCGTTTTCATCGTTCAACGCATCCACTTGTGCCTTCAACGCCTTCACCTCCTGAGCAGCCGAGGCCTTGAGCGTTTTGATGTCTGCGTTGGCTTTCAAGGTATCGGCCTTTAACGCATCGGCCTCCAGTTTAGACGCGCTCAAGGCGCTCAATTGGCGTTCGTGGGTGGCCTGGAGCTTGTCCCGGGCCAGCTTCACCGCGCCAAAGTTTTCGTGAATGTTCTGTAACGCCGTCTCCAACTCCCAGTTTTTCTCCTTCATCCGCTCCTCAGCCGTGACCGCCCTCTGGTGGCTTGCACGCACGGCCTTGAGCTGTGTCTGGGCCTCTTCAGCCTCTTGCGACGCCTTTGTCCACTGCGCCTTCAAGCGCTGGTTTTCGTACGTCAAGCGGCGTGACTCCGCGAGCAAAGAGTCTGACAAGCCAATCACAAAGTTCATCTCGTTACCCCTGTTATCGCTGGAAGACCCAGCACCGATGGCAGGGGCCGACAGAGCGATTGCTGTGTGGCCCGGCGATGGAATGATGGGCATTGACACGCGCCTATTGGCGCCGCTCATGCGTTTGAGAAAGTCTGCCTGATCGGACGACTCCTGGAACATGGGCGCATCTTCTCTGGCCGCTGGCAATGGTATTTCCTCGTCACTGGGGTCACTTTCGGAGTCAGATGGCGCGCGGCGGCTGAGGCTGCGAAATTGCGCCTGGATGTCATTTAGCTGGGTCTTTAAATTCGGGTTCGAATCCGGCTGAGACGACATGATCTCGGTAGCTAGGCGTGGTGGATATTAACAAGCAAAGAGTATGGGTATGGTGCCTAGCAAGCTTGGGTGTGTGTTTCAGTAGAGCCCGTCGTACCATCTGTTGTTTTTATTTGCCAGATCTGTAAACCTCCAGGGAAATCGCGCGACGAGCGTGCGCGTACCGCAGGCGCTAGTGCGTGTTAGAGCCTATAGTAAAACCAGCTCCGCGGGGAAAAACTAAGCTCAGGATCATTGGACCAATATCTAGAACCTGTCACCTTGTATATGTATATCGAGCGAGCACTATTGTATATGATATTCCTCCATGTAGCTGAATAATGTCGACCTGGATGCTGAAATAAATGGATTTTTGTCTCACTAAATTCGATAGCGTTTTTTCGTTTATATATAGAAAACCAAGATATCGATATAATATATATAATGGAATTATATATACAAAATTTATATACACCACTTGGCACTATGAAAAGTTTACGAAGTTGATATGCAAAACAGACTACGTGTATATTTCTGTCTCAATACTATAAAGTATTACAACACAATTAGCATATTCCTGGCTAGTACGAAAGACCCCTTGGCCTACAATATGCATCCAATAGCAGCTTTAACTGCAGCACACACCCTTGCCATTCGAGGATGATTGTCTGTTCTGCTTGCTCACAGGAACCACCAAACCTCTGGAGTGCATTCACGTTCTCCTTCACCAACAGGTAAAGGTTCAAGCACCGAGTGAGCTTCCGCTGTTGGAGAAGTTTCCGAAAGTACTGCAAAAAGATCTCCATGTCCTTTACATGCGGAAAAATAAGCTGTCCGACCGTGTCAGAGATCCAGGAAGTTAGCAAGGCTCCTATCTCAGCAGTGCAGCTGAGATTCTGGAACGTGGGCGGAGCTTGAAGCGAAATATAGTCAGAGGATTGCACTACCAACTTTGGCAGATTAGCTTCCATCACCACGTCGCGACGGCTGCGTAACTTACGGGCTTCCGCCACGTCTCGAAGAATTTCTTCCCTGATGAACGATGGAAGTTCGTTAAACACATCTTCATCCATTTCCGGAGTAAGACCCTCAGTCCGGACCTTTTGAACCGGAAAATCTCGGGTTATTCGTTTACGTTTCCGAGGCAAGGCCGAATTTACGGGTGGTTCCACATGTATCACTGGTGGCTGTGCCTCAGAAATGTTTGGAAGAACCTGTCGGTAGTCTGACTCACTGGGGGAGTCGTATTGTGTGTGGGGAGACAGTCTGCGGAGCCCATGACACTCTAACTCACCGTCTAGTTCGAGTTTGATTTCGGGGGGAAGGGCCTCGTAGACACTCCAATCGATTCCGTAATCGATTGAAGGGGCATTTGTATTTGATGTAGCCGCGAGGATGCTACGTCTGATGGACGACGGGAGCTCCTCAAGCACGGACGAATCAATCTCACTGGGGATCTGATACTGTGTTTGGTCGTCAGTGCGGAGAGCTTTGCCGGAAGACCGGTCTGGGGGTACAACTAGGGCCCGATTCTTCGCAAAATGGAGATCTGGTTTACCCATGGTGGTGTTTGTCTTGTCAAAAACAAGCTTGGACTGGTTATCCTTTATCATCCCCCTACTATCCACAAGTCTGGTGATGGTGACCGCAACGCCCCGAAGGTCAACGGTAGAGATCCCAATCATACGATACAAGGCCTTACATTCAGCAGATAGAATCCCTGGCTCGTTTGTAGGGACCCCGAGCTTGGACAGTTTGGAGATAAACTCGCATTTCCCGAGACCGAGAAACTTTGGGGTGGTTACTGGCGCATCCTTGGCCCGTTGGGCCAACCGCAACGTGAGATGGTGGCCTGCTAGATGGAGCTTTGCAAGCCTTTCGTGCATCTCTTGGGCGAGTCGGGCCATAAATACGTCCACTTCCTGTATTGCGTCGAACCGGATCCCGTAGTTGACATCCACACTCACACTTTTCCGGGTATATTCCTCAGGGTTCTCCGCTATATCGATTGAAGTGGCATCGATGCCGCGCGCATATTCAAAGAGCTTTGTCCCGGTTTTGATCCCAAACGTCGCCGTAAGCCTTTCCCTAGTGACTCGACGAAGCTCCCCAAGCGAGCACTTATCCGTTCTCAACATTACAGTTAGCTTCTGGGTGATCTTAGACCCGATCCCAGGGAGCTGACCAACATCAACTTCGCTTAGAAATTCCTCTACGCCGTCCGCATCGGGGAGAAGTACAAACTGCCCCGCTGGTTTGGCCCGGCGGAGACAGAGCTTGGCAAGCAAGACGTTGGAGGCGGCACCTACGCTCACGTGGCATCCAGTTTCGGTAAACACCCGATCACGGATTGTTTGGGCTAGCTTCGCAGTAGCATCTGCCATCAGCACTACGGGATCACTCGTGACAAGATTGCTGGCATCCACGAGAGCTTCGTCAACCGACACTGGAAACACTGACCGAGCCCCGAGGGATAACAAAATGTCATATAGCACTCCTGACACCCGTTCGTAGTTGGGAAAATCATAGTCGAGTGCCACAATATTGGGACACAACACCTGGGCCCGCTTCAACCACATACCATTCTTCACCCCAAACTCGCGTGCCGCGTAGTTGCAGCTCGCAACATCCGAGGTCTGGCCCCCGTGGGTTACACAGACTGGGTCGCTCCGAAGGAGCTGGGGCTGACCAAGGGCAGAAACGGCCGCAAAGAAACAGTCAAAGTCAATGTGGAGGATCACTTTCGAGGCGGTCTTTGCCGGTGGTATACTCCGCGAAAAATTGAGCACTTTCTCGATGAATTTCGCGCGCAAGTCGGCCCTCCACGTGCTCAAGTGATGCAACCGGGAGTTGGCAAAGTAGTGTTTGAGAAATTCTGGATGCTTGGCGTCCATGACATGTTCAGACGTGATTCTGTCTTCCTGGAGCTGGAACGCAGGTGGTCGGGTGAGCGGTGAAAGCTCAAGCTCGTCATCCATGATTTGTAAGTGGGATGGCTCCATCTCAGCGACATCTTTCAAGGAAGGGGAGCCATCCGTTTTGAGGATGTTCTTATTGGTGTCAGACTCCTTCTCGGGTAAAACTTCTTTTGAGAGATGGAGGGTTTCAACGTTGAAAGACTTGAGTGTCAGCTCTGTTCTGCTATTGCCCCTCCACTCATCGACCAATTGAACCTCCTGGGGTTTACCCGAAAGGGATTCCTCGTGGTTGACTGCTGGCGTTCTGTCCTTGAGGGAACTTTGGCAGATATCCGAGAGCCTGGGATTCGTACTCATCTCATGCACCTCCTCACCGATAAATGGGTTAGCCTCGTTCAGACTTTCGTTCGCCTGTCTGGTGAACCCAATTTGCTGCTGGCCATACTCAATATTGATTACCGTGTATTGCTTCCAGAACTGCAACACGCCCTTCTCGATACTTTCGGTGATCCACTCCGGCCGCACCACCTTGTACCGCTGGAATTCGATCATCTTCCGCGGGGTAAGGCGACTGGCAATGATATGTGTCGGAGCACCCTTGGAGCCAAGATAGTGGCGAAACTTACCTCCGTACAAGATCACAAGCCGATGGATCTCGGCAATACCTGGCTTCGTATACCCATTGACGTACACCACGCAGTCCTTGAAGAGAGGAGGGAACTCCTTCGGCACCTCCGAACCACCTAGATACCGCTGCTGCTCCCATTCAAGATAGTCCTTGTCTTGCTGTTGCTGTGCTAGGTGCTTATCTGTAAAGTAGGATCGGTAATCACCGAATTTCGGCTCGTTGGGCTTGATAGGGTTGGCGTTGGCATGCCGAAGTCGATTCAACTGAGAGCTGTCATTACTAGCCACTTGGTGCAACGGCGAGGCTCTTATCACTGATTCTCGGGCCAGGGCCGAGATGGATACCTCCATGGGGCTGGAGGGAGGAAGGATGTCGATTCCTTGGAACCCGTCTCCGTCGGCATCAGTGGCAGACAGCGTATGTGTACCTTGGGAGATGTTTCCAGGCACTCCTGTACCTTGTAAAGACTCTATAGTGTCTCTGGAAACACCTTCGTTAGCTTCTCCCGGTAAAGGGTTATGGATTTTTCGGGGCAGACGGTGTAGGTTATCCTCAACTTTAACCGCCGAGGGATCTCGGTGATTCGCTCCATGGAGATCTAACTGTATACCTAACTGGGACTCCTCCTGCTCGAGGCGGTTAAGGTACTCAATCAACTCATCGTCACCGAGTGACGTAGGGAATGACATGCGGCCAAACGAACTGTTGCTCTGGCTCATGGTGACCTATACGCTGGTGTTGTAATGTCCTTCAGTGGAAGGGGAGAGAACGCTTTAAGCTGTATTGCAATACCATGCGGCAGAATTCTTAGATTATCTTAGAATACTCCGCTCAGTTTGTAGCTGAGACAAAGGATGATGGAAGCTCTCGCACTGAAGGTGATACTGGTATAGAATAGATGGCAGCTGCATGTGCATTGTTGATGTCAGACATGCAGGACCGTCACTGCGTTATACTCCATCAGCAGGGCAGTCACGGGATTATCGCAAATAACGTAGTCGAAATAATTATAACCTCTCGGCTCATCTGAAAAATTTCCCCACCCCCAGATGCATCGCTGAGAATTATCCCACCTACATCTTTTCTATGCGAGTGGGAGGTGTCGGAAGCCGAGCTTTGTCGCCGAACCACCGGATAATTTTACCGTCAATGGGAACGCTAGTCTCCATGGATGACTCGGATCAAAGATTGCTTTATCTGTATCCAACCACCTGGTTTAAACTGAAAGTTACAAGTGGCTGATGTGCTTATTTTTTATTATTTGTATTCTCGGATAATCCCCTTTTCACCGGGAGACACGCATTTCGGTGTGACGCACAATAGCCACCTGCAGCTCATCCGGTTGGTATAACATCTCACCGTATCAGAGCTCTAAACAAGTGAACCAAACGGTGGCTATTCGCCATGAGTTAATACATACCTCCCAGAATCTAGGCTTCTACATGGCACACTAAAATGGTGACCAAAATGTACCACCGAAGCTTTGTCTAGAGCGTCGCCTGGCTGATATCCCTTCTTCCAACGATATGCCTACACACTGTGGTTCCCTTACATTCTTTCCCCTCTTTAATCCATGCACAAGGTACACGCCGCAACACCCTCTATAACTAAACCGGACTAACGCCTTTTAGTGTCTTGCCTTAGTCCCATTCATAAATGCAGCCAGTTAGCAATACTTACCCTACCGCCCTAATACCACAGCTATTTTCCCATACCATGCTGCTGAAGTCCACGAAAATCCTTCCTGCATGGTTTAAAAAATAGCGCCGTTACTTCTTGCCGGCGTTAACACTCAAAAGTTAGAATGCCGGCAAAAATACATAGATATACAAAGCATTCTACAAAATCCCGACTTTTAAGCATCAGGCATTCTCGCGGAATCGCTAGGACCCAGCCGGTTCTAACATCTTAACAATCGATATATGTGACCTCTTTAGACGTATGCAGGACGAAATTTTGCTGCAGAGTGGGGGGAATCCGCGGCTAAGAGGAACCATACGATCAAACCGGCTGTCTTTACTTTTAGTTTTCATTCCTTCATCTTGTTAGTTGCCGCCAGCAGAGTCCATCTGTTGTATGAGCAAACGTGTGGTGACCCCCGACGTGGGCGGCTACTTCGAGTACCACCACGACAGTGTCTTCTCCGACGAGTCCCTGCCAGCGACGCCAGATGAGTACAACGTCACCGAAGCAGGGTCATATTTTCCGCCCCAACCGGGCGCCATCTCTATTCCGCCACACGTGCTGCTGTTGGCACGCCGCACAAAAGACAACACCATCTGGAACATCCTCCCGTCGTACCACATGTTCGAGTCCATTGTAGGCAAGAGCTTCGAGCTGTCATCCGAGGACCTAAGCCTTCCGCCACCAGGGTATAGCTACAACTCTTCCCGCAACCTTTCCTGGCCCACACCGGCTCCCTCAACGCCACCACTTGAAGCGCTCTCCGCGTCCCTGCCAGGTACAACGCCTCAGCTCGTTTCGGGCTCAGTCTGGGAAACCTCTGTGGTCGGAAACGTGGACTCACTTCCGCTTGTGAATAACAAGCACATTGAGATTAAGATTCAGACCATCAAAGAGGTGAATCGGCCGGGATCCAAACCCGTTATGGAGTCTGTCACCGAAAAGGAGTACACTTCAGGTGATGTTCTCACCGGCTATGTCACAATCAGAAACACCTCTGCAGTACCGATTCCGTTTGAAATGTTCTTGGTATGTTTGGAGGGCAACATTGTGATTGTCAAGAAGCACAAGGCGCACGAAAAGGTGGTGGACCTGAAGCCCATCACCCACAAGCTTTTGAACATGATCGACCTTGGCGCCAGTTGGAACTATGAGGAAATCAAGCAGATTTCCGACATTGATTTTATCCAGGGCGAGCGCGATCCGTACGACAACACTCTCTACGGGTTGCCTCTGGACCGCAAGCTCAAGCCGGGTGAGTGCTACAAGAAGTTTTTTATCTTTACGTTGCCGAGTAAGTTACTCGACACCGTCTGTCCGCACGATAAACTCTCACACTGCTTGGTGTCGCCGTCGCTTGGCATCAACAAGCATGAGTTCTTCCAGCACATCCGTAACCATCGCACAGATAACAAGAATGCATTCGCAAAGGTGGAAGGTGACTTCCTCAAGGACTTTTGCATCAGTAATTGCTCGATTTCCTACTCTATCGAGGCGCGGTGCGTGGGCAGTGTGGTACAGCCGAAAGCCAAAACCACCTTCAACATCTTACAGAATGCCAACTTCTTCTTCAAGTATGTGCCAAGCACCTCCGGTATAAACTCGTTTTTCAAATCATACAAGGACATTGAGCGCGTCGCGTATATTGAGTCTCAGAATGTGTTCAAGCGCTTGGACGACATGTTGAAGCAGATCTCGCCCGAAGGAAATATGTATCCCATGCAGTCTTCGGTATCTTTGCCAATCGTGACGTCTGCCGGGTCTCGATCGCCGAGCTCCAGCGAGAGTCCGCAGTTGAAGGAAGAACAGTTGTACAACCCTGACCTCATCAAGATGTACGAAAACCCTTTCATCGAGGCCTCCTACACCTTGCGAAAGAAACTTCTTGCCAGTACCAAGGCTATGGGAGAAGTAACCATCTCCACGAAACGGGAAGGCAATAATGTCGATTATTTAAAACCCCATGCGCGGTTGAAACCGAAACGCACCCCCTCTGGACTTTCCAATCCGCTCCCTAAACAGCTCGCCGACCTCTTTTCGCGGCAGTTAATGCTCGAGTTCGAGTTCAGACCGGCCTCATCCGCCATCAAGCCCCCGGAATTCAAATCTATTCACACTGAACTTGAAATATACACGGTCTCCGCCAAATGCCCAATCCCAATCGAACTCACGATCGAGCTACTTAATAACCTCGACGAGTTCCAAGCGATGCTCAAGACGTATGTCGAGACCATCAAGGCTGCAGGCGGCAAGCGAAAGTTGTTCAACGATTTGGAGTTGAAGGGCGACATCCGTTCGTTAACGTCGTTGTACTGCAAGAAGAACCTGCTCCCGTTGTTTCTGACCTCGGTGGGCAACATAAAGACGTATAGCCATTGGGATCCGGTGGTTGGTGATAACAACGTAGCGCACAAAACCGCGCTGCCGCTCAATACCTTTACCGGTCTCCGAAATGGTGCGCTTTCGGTAAAGACCCAAATGCAGAATATGAAGGTCTTGTCTCCGCCGCCAACCTCCGAAAACCCTGTCCACAAGTCGAATATCATCTACAAGACACTGTTAGACTTGAATGTCTGCCTTAAGGAGTACGAGCCGAAGTTGGTCCCCAGCTTCCAGGCCTGTTTACTAGGGCGACTTTATGCAATTAGGGTGGTGGTCAAGTTTGCATACGGGGATCCGGTGTGTATCAGCCTTCCGTTAACAATCAATAATTCGTAACGGGAGCGCTCTGATGCCAGATCAAATATTTCACGGCAATGACTGGTTATAGTGCTAGCTCAAGTATAATGTTGGAAATTAAGTGAAAATTCTGGATGGAAAACTCTTGTGGTCGAACTTAGGGCAGCGTGGTGAGATTGAAACCAGACTGACATCCGTACAAGAGTAATGGATATTCTGCAATTTGAAATCAGGACAGGTGAGTACCGCTTTTGAACGGCCTAATATCAAACATCTCCTTTCAGGCTATTTAACTTGATTGGCGTGAATTCTGGTTCGCGGATTGAAGCATAACCAAGGTGCCAATTGCTCCTGCCTCTACAACCGTTTTCTATAGTAGAAATAAGTCCATAAGTTTGGACTATAGATAACGCAAACTTATGCCAACACCTGTTGGACCTTAGAACCGTTAGTGGAGTAGGGAATACCTGACTTTGATGCTAAACTGAATTACCGACGAAAAACCTATTGGTGTACCCCATGGTAATTCTACCTAAACACAACCATTTTTTTCTGTCGTACATTAGGGTATTTACAAGAATTAAACGTCACCTTCTGGCTATACCGTCTTAGCCTCCCCTTCCACCTCCTTGGCGTCCTCCTCCACCGGTTTTTTCGCCTCGTGGTCATGCAAGATCTTGTACAAAGCGCTATTGTGGTTGCCGTATAACGTGGCAAAGTCTCCCATCTCATCGACCCTGCCGTCGTGGCCCAAGACAATGATCGTCTTTGCCTTTCTAATGGTGCTGAAGCGGTGCGCGATGCTGATGGTGGTCATACCACGCTCGGAGATGAGCCTGGCGATTTCGCTGTTGACAAGCGACTCGCTTTTGGCATCGAGTGCTGAGGTTGCCTCGTCAAGAATTAAAATGGCCGGGTTCTTGAGCAACGTGCGCGCGATGGCCACGCGCTGCTTCTGTCCTCCGGACAAGGACCCACCCTTGGCGTTCAACTGGGTGTCATAGCCGTCAGGAAAGTCGTGGATGAACTGGCAGTTGGCCTTCATGGCGACCGTGTCAATAGTTTCCAACGACGGCCTGTCCTTGGGCTTGTAGCCCAACACAAGGTTTTCATAAATGGTGCCCGGTAACAACGCTGGCTCTTGCTGGACAAAACCGAGAGCCCGTCTGATAGACTTAACGTTGTAGGTGGAAATATCCACACCGTCCAAGAGGATGCGGCCGGCGTTTGGGTCGTAGAAACGCAACAACAAGGAGGTAATGGTGGACTTGCCTCGCCCCGACGGCCCCACGATGCACACGTTGGAGCCCGCCGGGATGGTGAACGAACAGTTCTCAAAAATGAGGTTATTTGGTCTGGTTGGGTAGGCAAATGTGACGTTTTCAAACCGGATCTCGCCGCGGATGTGGCTTGGGACGGGATCACCGCTCGTGGCCTTGATTACCGGGTCGCTGCGCATCAACTCAATCAACCGCGACGCCGCTCCGGTCCCCTTCATCAACTCCCCGTAGAAGGATGTGAGGGCGAGAATGCTGCTGCACGCAAAGTCTGCGTAGAAAAAGTACCCCGTCAATTCACCAATGGTCATACCGCCCTTGTGTACAAAATACGTACCGCCAATGAACACCACGGTGTAGTTGATGAAGTAGGCCGAGTTACAGACCGCAATGTACAACGTGTTTAGGATGGTTTCCTTCTTGGCCGCGTTGAACACGCCCTTTGTTTCGGCGTTGAACTTGGTGAGCGAGGACGACTCCGCCGCAAACGATTGCACGGTTTTGATGGCGTTGAGCTGTTCCTCCGTCACCTTACTGAGCGACCCGCTGGATTTCTGGAGATTTTTGGACGCACGCTTCAAGCGCTCTCCAAAGATGCTAGAGACGTAGGCAGTGAGTGGAATGAGTACAAAGTTACACGCCGCAAGCGTCGTCTGCGTGGAGAACATCATGGCGGTGGCAAACACGAGGAAGAGCGAGTTCTTCAACCCGTCCGCGATCTGGCTGGTAATCGATCGCGACACCATGTGTGCGTCCGTTGTGAGGCGCGACATGATGTCACCCGTCTTGTGCTTGTCAAAGAACTCGGCGTCCTGGGTGAGGAGTTTCTTCATGATATAGCTCCGTAACTTCGAGATCAACTTCTCCCCAAGGAGCTTGAGGATTGTCACACGTCCAAACACCGCCACAGTGAAGAGCCCGCACGCACCAAAACACAAACCGGTGAACTGCAAAAATGTGTACTCGCCCATGATCAACACCTCCCCGTCGCTAGGCTTGAGATCCTTAAGAGAGTCCACGATCTTCCCGAACCACTTGGGAAAGCTAAGAAGGACCACCGTGCTGGTTACCAAGCACACAAGGGCGAGTGATATCAACCTCCAGTCCAGGCGGATGAACTTTGTGAGAGCAAGCAAATCCTTGAGTTTCCCAGCGTCTTCCTCCTTCTTTTCCGCCTCTTCACCCTTCTTTTCCACCTCCTCAACCTTCTTTACCGGCTCTTTAGCCTTTGGGGCCGTCTGGGGCCTTTTTGGGGCCGTGGCGTAGAATCGGACGGGCTGGGGCCGGGGCCAGACGCTTAGCTGCGGAAGCATCGCAGGTCTGTGTGTGAAGCCTCTGAAGGGCACTAGGAGGCTGGGTCTGGCAAGACGTAGCATACCAAAACTGTGGCCGAATAGCACAGACTTGGCCTGAAGTACTCGCATGGTTGGGGGTGATGAGCGGTTGTAGAGTGGGTTTGTGGTTGTTCCGTTCTGATATATCGTCCGAAAAGGCTGCCAATTATCGGTGGGCGCACGGCGCACGTGACACGCCACTGGTCCGACTGCGATGCAACCTGCATACCGGGAAATGTTGAATGTTCGAAGGATCCTGGGCCCAAAGGCCGGCATGAGTGTCATTAAGAACAAAGGCACCAGTTTCTGAGCTCTTACCGATATAGCCACACTGAGGTGGAATTTCTGACTAGCGTCAAGGACGATAGAAGCCTAGCATCTATGCTACCGGAGCAAGGGTAGCATACAGTAACTGCTCCCAACAAACCCATTATTCTGTGTTCAGTAAAATTAGCTTTAGACGTATCACGTGAGCGGATTGGCCCACCGAGAGAAAACCCTTTATCGCCTTGCCTAAATAGTCGACCCGGGAATATTACAGGTCTAACAAACTTTCAGAGGGGGTTTCAAAGCCAATAATATTGCAAACTATACTGGAAGAAAAGAAAAAAACCAAAAAAAAAAACCGTACGTCAGGTACGGAGGTAAGGTATCAATAAAGATATACAACAGGCGGTGAAAATTGAAATAGGTTTGGTCTAAACAGCAAACGATCGTAGAGAGGTCTAAAAGAGTTCTCAGACGGTTGTTTCAGCAGTACAGAGATCGACCCATTCAACGTTGGTCTCAGTGACAACAACAACATCTGCTGACGCTTGTAAGGCAAAGAAGGTCGCCATAAGCGCGAGAACGGTCTGTGGAGTGGTAAAAAACTGCATATTGTAGATGGAGAAATAACGTAGTCCTAGGTTTGGATAGATCGAAATCTCCAAAACCAGGGGACACCCCTCTAGTTATATATGCCCGCAGAGGGAGTAGGGGCATGGGGAAGGAGGCATGGGATTACAGCCAAGCCTTGGCCCGCAACAGTAACTAGCAGAGAATCGAATTCCGGAGCGGAGATTATTCCTGCAAGTCAATTTCCTAACAGGGATTGGCGACGCAGAGTTTCATACCTGTATATTTCCCTGCTTCAACTGCACTCAGTCTGGTAGAGTGGGAAGATCTTCTCTTGAATTAGTTTATAACATCCTGCTATCATTTATAATGGGGTATTACGGCTTTTCGAATCTTTTTTTTTCAACACCTGAAGGGATATCTGTATGTATCCACTGAAACTGGAAATCACTGAATGCGCAGTATTCTGCGAGAGTCCCAATGGAGGCTAGACTAACTCAAGCGGCTCCTGCAAGCTGTACCTATGAAGGAATCTCATGATCCTTGTACAGAAAGGCATGGGGTACAGTAATGACCTCTAGAGCTACTCAAACATCCACGCATACACTGGGACCATATATGGATATAAATTGATTGAACATACTTATAGAGATACTAGCGGTGGAAAGTATCCCTGAGTACTAGGCAGAGTGGATGCATCGTTGGCCTGCGAAAAACCCGGAAAGCGCCGCTATCAGTACGTATGATCTAGACCGATATGAACTTTCAGACATACGTCATCCTGCAACAGCGGTCTCATATTTGGTACGACCTCACGGCACAACCTTCCACTGCTTATAAAACGGGATTCGATAGCTGCAAGCTTTTACATAGCCTAATACCTACAAGCTTCTACGTGATATAATACCGTTGACAAGGGAACCCTGAGGGATCGGTATCAGTCTTCACTCGTTGCACGTAACTGCAATAACTCATTCCAGCTCGAATAGGATGGCAGCGGCCCTGAGCTCACAATCTCATGCCCCAGCTTGGGCGTTAGTGCACTACTACACGATGCCACCTTACTTTATGCGTAGAAATCGGTCTCAATCTAGATCTGGAACTGGTTGTGAAACTGATCGGCAGGGGCCAGTTTCCCACGCGCAGGATTACACCACCCGGAGACAAAGAGGTACGGATCCGAATATAAACTCAAGGCGACGTTAATTCCTAATCGTTACCGAGGACTATTATGCTTGTATACGCACAATGTCTCTAGCAAAAAGACGATGACGCGCCCTCATACCATCACATAGAACGCCTTGACCAATGTAGATTGTCAGTCGTCGTTTGGTTTCAGTCTTGAACGTTAAACAAAATGGGCATTGTCTCATCAAAAAAAAAAAAAAACTAACCTGTGCACAGTTATGGTTCGCCAGACAATCAGACGAAACAAAATCATATCATAAATTGGATTAAAAACACAGTGGATGCCAGCCAAACTCTAATATATATACTCTAACGTTATTATCCAAACCTACATCCAGCACTATCGTTCAAACAGGCACAGTTTATACAACCAGTAGTGTCAAACACCCCCTTACAACTCATCCAAATTCAAGTCGTAGTCAAAGTTTCCAAGCATCGTCCCCACGTTCGGAAGAAGCTCAAACAACGAAGTATACGCATCGTTTAACTCGTTAAGCTCTAAACTAGCCGGCTCAGAGGTGGCGGCAAAGACCTGTTCCGGCAGGGGCGTCGTAAAAGGTGGCAACGGTTTCTCAGGGACCGTCTCGTAGCGGCTGGCGACGGCGGAATAGATAGAAAAGTCGTGGTCGATGATGGAATCGAGCGTGAAGGGCTTAGGGGTCAGATGGGTGTCAAACAAAGACTTTGGCACCTTGTTCAGCTCGCTGGTCACTGGCAACGGCGGGTTCATGGCGTTGTTGTTGTAGTTTGCGGCTCCCGCGTCGGCGGTGGCGCCACGCTCACGCCACATATCGCGTTTCTGCGCGTCGGTCAACTTTTCGTTCGACTCCTTCTGGTACTTGCGGATCTCCAAGTTGCGGAAGAAGAGAAAGCTCATTTGCGCTATGCGGCCTGAATTGAACCAATATTCGTTCATCAGGGACAAGATCCGCACCGGTTCACGCCACGTGTAGCCGTTTTCAATCACGCGGAAGCACCCCATACGCAAAAAAGCGGTGAGGGTGATGGACGCTGCATACGGAATGAGCGGCGTGTTTGGGAGGAACCGCAGGGTCTGGGTGTTGAGAATCGTAAGGACCTTTGAGGCTGCCTTGGAGTTGAACTCATCCGGAACAGAATTAGCAATGCTGGGGTTCTCATACGCGCGCTTCTGCGCGAGAATGATGATGATGTTGTTAAGGAGGGAGCGCAAGTTGCGTGATGCACGCGCAACGTACTCTTCACGCTGTTCGCGCGGCGCGTCATAGCACGGCAAAGCCTCACCTTCAAACGGCCTATCCCCCGGGCTTTCCTCCTCGTATGTTCCCAGCAGCGGCACCGAATAAATCCCCTCATCCTCTCTGGTGTTGTCAAAGTCCACGTCTCTGGGAAGCACTCTGGTGTCTCCATGGGGCTGATACAACGACAACACCTTCTCCAACCGCACCGCCACCAGCACAAGCCTGGCCAAGCCCTCTCCCTTGGGGGTCGCCACAGAAATGTCTTTGCGATGAACGCTCATGTTACGCGTGTTGATGATGGCGTTCAACCGGTCTAGTACGAAAATCGTCCACCAGAGCTTCTGCTGCGACGCCAGATCCTTGCTCTTACGGAAAGCATTCTTGTGGTGAATCCCTAGAGAAATGGCAATATGTATCGCCATCGCCAAGTCGGTCGACAGTTTTTCCGTGCCGTTGACCGAGGCCCTCTCGTGCAAGGAGAGCAAGGCGTAGGTGCGACACAACGTTAACTGGTTCAGCTCCACGTTGAACAGAATGAAGGACCGGATCTTGGTCTCAACGGAGGAGGTGTAGTGCTTGGTGTCGGACACACCCTCCGCGAGAAGCACGTCGCGTGCCTCGGGGTCGCGACACGCCACCACCACGATTGCGTACTTGAGCACCGTCGGCACGCAGTTGCGCGCAAAAAGCCCCCAGAAGTCGTTTTCGTCGAGAAGCGGGAACACCGAGTTCACCTTGTAGAAGTAGATCTTGATCAAGTTAAGCTGCGCCTTTTGCGAGATGTTGAGCGAAAACGCATCAATCGTCTGGAGGTACTCGAACAAGAGGGGCGAGAGGCCTGTCAGCACTTCGTTGTTGTCAATGTATAGGCCGACGGAGCGGCGGAGAGTCTCGTTTGTCGTCTGTTTGACCAAGTTTTCGTCCACCTCGGTTTGCATCTTTTTGGGCGGTCCGGAGTCGTCCGCGTCGGCCGCGCGCTTAAGAAACGGGCGCCGTGCGGTGCCGTTGACGATCGGCGCGATTCGCGGATCATTCATTGGGTTGAACTGCGCAAAGAGGAACGTGGGGTCGAGCGTCCCCACAAAATGGAGTGCACGCGCGCTTTCTTCGTCAGACGTGAACACGAACCCGCTGTGCAAGAGCTGTTTGGCCGATACGAGCGGGGGCGGCACATCGCGCGGCACGGACACGACATCCGCGACAGTCAGATCCATCGGTTGTGACGGAAACGCTTCATCCACTGGTGCCGCGCCAGCTATCAAATCGCACGCCGTCCCCTGGAGCGCGCAGTTATCGCAACCGAGCTTGTCGTAGTCCGTAGAGAGTTTGCATTTGATGCGCCGCGCGCGACAGGATTTGCAACACTTGAACGTGCGCTTGCGGTTCTTAAACTCCGAGTTGAACGCTGGGAACACAAACATGGCAGTGAGGGTTTAGAAAGAGAAGAGGTCGGAGTTGTTGGTTGAATTTTTTTAGGGGTGACCTCGTGCGGCGTGCGGGGCCAGACGCCGCCCAGGCAGGGAAAAGGGATATCCTGTGGGGTACGGCGGAGGGATGAGCGATTTCCTGGAACAAGGTTACCGGCCAAGGTGGGCACTTACAAGGTAGGGTCAGAAAAAGAGCGAGATCTCAATATCAGGATCTCAAAAAAAAAAAAAGTCAATGTTGCACTGTTTACTTGACTGAAATAAAGGGCGTTTGCCAGATGTAAGACAAACTAGTACTGACCACGTGACTAAGAACTGTTGTGTAACTAAGGCCTTAAGTTTACTGTCAGATGAGAGCACGTTAACCGAAGGTTTTGTAAACCATTAGATGAATGAAAGATTCAAGTACCGGGATTTTTTCTTGTATGCCACTATAATCGGAAAGGGGCCAACCTTGAATATCGAGTATCCAGCACAGATAATGGGCCGAATTCATAAGTTATGTGAAATATGCCTCACAAGAATCTGTTGCATACGGTGACGGCTAAGGTGGTTAATCCTTCACAGGCTTCATACTCTCTTTATGTTTGTTACTTAAATAGAGTCTCTTGGAATGACTGAACGTGATGCTTTTTAGACCGGTCTTTTGTGAAGAAAATCAGAGGTTGTAGGGGTCTTCTGCTAGGTTATAATCTCCGAAAGTGATATCGATGCTAGCCTAATCTTCTCCGGTGCTTAGTCGTTGGGGTTTTCCGACATTCTCGGTGACGGTAATAACCACGGGAGAGTAGCCCGAGCTACCCAGCCCACACGCATATGGGGCTACACAAGCACTGCCGTATAAAATTGTCTGGGCTCCACAGACCGATAAGTGGAGGGACTGAGGATACAATGTAACCAGATCTTGACGGTACGTATAGACCAGGCATACTCTTGAGAGATGTTCGCGTTGTATCACCGAGTCTAGTTGGTCGCTCGAGACACTCACGAGAAATGTAGGCGTAACAGAACTAGAAGACGGAGGATCAAACCAGGGGATGCAGGCATGCATGATGTCAATCCCTGCAGCAGAAGAGAGAGCAAGGCACTATGACGGCAAATGACACCCCAGGGACTATGTGCACTCCATATTTCTTGCTCCATGGATAATACAGCCGGCCATTAGAAAATTTGTGCCTTACTGTCACAACGGACTTTAACATTTCGCTGTAAAGGTGAAAACAGCCGAGGACGGGCTCAGCATTTACACGATATTCTGACAACTAGGCGGGACCAGGGCCTCAGTGTTTAATCACGTTTTCTTCGCCGTATCGCCATGGTTGCATAGGCCGTGGGGCGCACGCCCATTGATAGGAACCAAAACGTTGCGACTTACGAGGTCACACATGTATGATACGGCCTTCCAATGGTATGATCTTTATCGAACAAGCCAGTATAGGTAAAGGATTGCCATAGGAGCCATAACAAAAGGTTGATTTTACCTTAAAGACCAAAAACTGACATTAGAGTAGAAACAGATGGCCAGTTCTATACCCTCTCCTGACCCACAGATGCTACGTTATCTAATGCAACAGGTCAGAGTTACATTTGGCGTCACTTACGGTTTATGACAACCTGCACATCCTTATCTGCGTTCGAGTAAATTACTGGCTCAGCCTACGAATACAACAACTTCCTCCACCAAGTATCGCACTACAGCATTCCTGAATCTGTTCATTTTTTCCCCCACCTTCAAACAGCATGAGCCCAGTTAGTACCTGGAATGTATCACGTTTGGCATACAAAACAATGATTTCATCCGAAATCCGTACACATTGAGACACATTTAGTGCAGCCGAATCCCGATATGCGTCACGTCAAAGACAGTCCACTTTTCGGCTCACTAGAAAATGGGTCTCAGAAATCCCAATGTCGAGACTCAAATTTCCAGATAAGCCGCCCTGGACTTTATATTTACGGTGCAGCTCAGATTACAACAAAATAACGCACTAAATACACTGCATTAATCTATATCACCTCCCCTACTTTTCATACCAAAGAAATCTCCCCGCTCTGGATTCAGACTGGCCGCGCACCCTCTCTAAGGATTCCCAGCCTAAGTCTATACTTCACTGTTTTCTTTTTCATGCGGGACAATATGCGCCGTGAAAAGAAAAAAACGACCCAAGTGCATATTTTCAGCATCAACTCGCCATGTCTCGTTTCTTTTGCTGCTGTGCGTTTCTTTTTTTTTTTACGCAGCTTCCCCCTCCCCTCTTGCCTGATGGCCAAGTTAGAGATGGGGACTGAGCCGAACTGTGGATGACAACACTTGTCTACGGTTTAACAGTTTGATGATGAGGTTTGTGAGTATGATTAGTGTGTGTCATAATCCAGATCCTCAACGGCCAAATTATTATCTGCACATACAAGACTTTTTTCCAGTAAGCATCAGTGAGGCAGTTCCGGGACTATAAGCATCTAATTATCGCGAGCCTGCCTGTCACCTGAGCCTTGCTGCCAACAACCGAAGTGCGTTTTCTTTTTCAGAGATTTCTTTTGCTCACCGGTGATGCGCTTTGAATGTCGCATATACGCTCCCCCTTCCTTTTGCATTACTTTCTCCAACCCTAGCCCTTGTTCAAACCTTAAAGATAGGCCAGTAGACTATCATTTTTCGAGAGATTCTACAGATCTTCCATCTTAAGCTTTTCCCCGTTCTCTTCCCATTTTCCTTTTCTTTCCTTCCCTATTTTTCCTTTTTCTACGCTTTTGTTTGACTCTTTCCAACTCTGGACTTGCCAACTATATAGCTTTCATTTCCACGTACACTTTGAAGCGATCCATTCCTTCGTGACATTTATCGCCACATCCTTCATCAACGTCTTTCCTTGCATCTTTGCCATCTCTCAGGCCTTAACCTTAGTTCTTGCATTATGACCATTTGCCAACAGCCAAAACGCCTTATCGTATACACATCCGGGTCCGAGGACAAGACAAGGCGGCTCTCGCTTGTGCTCCCGCCACAGAACCGTCTCGCAGGCCTCTCTGCGCTGCCTTCTGACTACACCACCTGGCGGCCGCAGGCGGGGTCCAAATCGTGTTCCAAGGACGAAGCTTCCGGTGAAAGCTCGTCCCGTCGCACCTCTATCGATGACTTGCCCACCTCCTCTGCTGTCAACAAATCCAACACATACTTCCACAACTACATGTTCACACCAACTCTCTACGGCAGCACCGAAATTCCGGCAGTGTTCGGGCATGTGACGGATAATATCAACGACGAGATCTACCTCTTTGGGGGAATGGTGCTCGCGGCACCGGGGCTGCGGCCTGTGCCCGTGTGCGTGCGCCTCGTGGACGAGCAGTATCGCGCGCTCACAGAATTTCCGCGCCCGTTGAACGCGGACGCGCTCGCGAATCCACACCTCGTGCCCACCAGCGCTCTTTACACCATCACGACCGTGTCCAAGCGCGTGACACGGGTTGTTATCGACACCGACCGTGCGAGTCTGCGTGGAAATGCCCTGCGTGGCGGCGGCGATACCCTCCCCGCCTTGCTCTTCCACAACTCCGCTGTCGTCAACGAGCGCCACATCTTCTACTACGGGGGATTTACTATGGAGGTTGACCAGCGCGAGGAGGCAGAAGGCATTGTCGAGTACCGTGTGTTGCGTGTGAACACCACGCGTGCGTGGATTCTCGACGTGGTGACCCATCGTGTCAAAGAGGTGCGTGTGGCCGCGTCCAGCCGAGGTGGTTGGATCGGCAACACGCTTATGTCGTCGTACGTCAACGAGACGGCCACGTCGCTCGTGGCTTTTGTGCACAAGGCGCGCACGACGGGCCGCGACGGCTCGTCGACTGTGGCGGGCGTAACCCTCAACCACGACGGTGAGGTGCTCACGTTCTACTCGTTCGGTGGGTACCGCCTCGAGGCGGGGAAGTTTGTGGCATCCAACGCCGTCGTGGCAATCGAGCTTGAGGTGCTCTACAAGGGCGCCAAGTCGTTCATGCGTTTTGGCGAAACCGTGCTGTGCGCGACGATCGCGGTCGCGCCAGACGCGACCGGGCGTGCGTCTCAGCCCGAGCCCCGCGGCTTTGCGGGCGATGCGCTCATAGATAGCACGTATATGTTCAGTCGTGCGGACCACGAAGCGCGCTACGCGCGCGGCATTATAGCCGGCGACACCGCGAACGTCTCGCGCACCCTCTTCGAAGGAAAGGCGTTGCTCGTGCACGGCGGCACGCAGGGCACACGCTTCCACGGTGACATGTGGGCTTTCGACTTTCTTCTCACGCGGTGGAAGCGCATCGACACGTATGTGCACAAGTACGACTTTAGCGGCGGCAATTATGCGATCCGTCCGCACGAGCGCGAGCCGGCGCAGCTCTCATCCGCGTGCCATCTGATGCACCTCCTGGGGCGTTACCTTGTGTTTTCCGTGGGCGTGTTCCACCTCGAACCAAGTGGCGTACGCGGCACACCGCGCGAGCGCTATTTAGCAACAAAGGCGACGCGCACGGCACCGCGTGAGTTCCTCGAGCTTGTCATGAGTCTTCCCGAGGTGGGCGCCGAGTCCACTGGCGTGGATATTTCGCAGGTGGCGTTCAAACGGTCAACCTTATTTGACCTCACAACTCAGACGTACATGGCCACAAAGTATATTCGCGACGTGCCGTCGTTGTACGACCTCCCGAGAAGCATGAAAAACAGATATCTATACCTGGGGTACGTGGGGTCCACTTCGGTGTACAGTAAATCGCGCATATTTATTATCGGTGGGCAAGCCGTGCCGCAGTTTGCGTTCACCAGAAACTCGGGTGAAGAAGAGGATGAGAATCCGTATGATCAGATGAATCTGCTTTACATGTTGGCGGGTATCTTGGAAATAGACATGCCGGTAACGACCGCGGTGGTACAGAAGGCGCTGTATTTTTAGGTGAAACGTCAGCGCCACCAAGACTTTGGAAGGCATAATCCGCTTACCTTGGTTTTGACTCAGGTGTAAGCCTGTACTTGGCATATGTATTAATAAATAGTTGTATTCCTCGTGGTATTTATACTGGTTGGCGTAATTTGGAGTGTGAAAAAAAAAAAAAAAAAAAAAAAAAAAAAAAAAAAAAAAACAGGTATTTAATCCGGCAATTATTGTCGTGCACGGGGATATTGAGACCATATCAGTCCAAGTGGATTACAGAACCAATCCAACCGTCCGTATACTGAATGGTTAGACATTGCGCTGTGAAACCAATAACACGCTTGCTTGAGAATGTACCGTAAACAGAACCAGGTTAGAACTACTTTTACTCCATTTCTGTTCAATTCTTTAATGCCACAGAATGCGTCACCTCTTCAACGCTGGAATCGTCGGGTGAACCCTCACTTTCCTCATCGAATGCGGCCTTATCCATTAACTTTTCATCCCGCTTAGAAAAGTATGTAGCTAGAAGCGTCATGAGTACGCCAAATGCAGACAAGCACGCGGTGTAGGTAAACCCGATAAAGTAACGCGGAGCATCCGTGGCATTCCAGACAAAAATTGGCACCCACGCACCAGTCACATACGCCAAGGTGTTGGTTACCACCACCACAAAGTTCCGCTTCATGTCATCGTGGGCGAGCAACCTATTGACCCACGAGAAGATCTGAGGTTGGCCCCAGGAGGTTGGAACACCGATCAAGAAGTAGCAAAACCAATGGAACCCAATTGGGATGTTCCAGTACGATAACGCCGAGCAGCCAACGATTAGACTCACAAAAAAGGCCTGAACAAATACGTAGTTGAACCTCCCTTTTAAGGCATCCGAAAGCCACGAGATGGTTATGGCAAACCCAATGCCAGCGCCGCTGAGGGCAGTGGGATATACGTTATACTTTGAGGCAGGCAACTTCAAATCTACCTTCATCCACTGAGTAAAAGTAGGTTGGCTAGTGGAAGCACAAGCGTTGTTGTAAGCCAAGAAAATCAAGGGGAAGACAAAAATGTGCCAGGTACTGAAAAAAGACTTGATCTTCTTGAGGGTGTACTTTTCACGAGTATTAACAGCGGCCCCGATGCGTCTCCTCCTCTCCAATGCCACAAGCTTGTCATCGTCTGAAAAATACCAGGCGTTGGTAGTAGAAGGGGTGTTGGGATCTACCAACATTGTGTAGAATGCGATTGGAAACGAAATAATCGCATCAAGCACAAACATCCACTTGAAGGCCGGAAGTTTGGAGTGTGAGAAGTTATTCAAGACGGCGAGTTGTAATGGTCCTGAAACCATCCCAGCGGCAGTCCCCGCACAGGCGAACAACGTGGACCGTTTGGCCAACTCCTTAGGAGAGTACCAAGACCCGATCAAATATTCCATACCCGGGAAGAAGCCTGCCTCTGTCAACCCTAATAAAAAACGGAGTGCATAAATCCCGTTGATGTTTTTGCATGTAATCAACAATACAGTCAAAATAGACCAAATAAACTCCAAGCTACCCAAGTAGTACCGGGCGGAAATCCGGTGCAAAATAAGGTTGGATGGAATCTGACCGATAATGTACCCCACGGTCCACAATGTGACCATGTAATTGTACTGGTTACTGTCCATATGATAGTATTCTTTCATCCCGTTAACATACGCCGTGGCGACGTTGTTCTGATTCAATGTCTTGATAAAATATCCCAACATCGATGAGGATAAGAGAAAGAAGTCCAACTTCAACATGAAAGCCCGCTCCTTGGGATGCTTATCTGCCGAATCCCACACCGCAATCTTGAACTTGTACCAGGAGGTACGTCTTCTTGCAAGCTCTTCGGGGGTCAAATCAAAGGTTAAGTCGATATACGCCTCATTGGAATTGTGGTTGTAAACTAGCAGGTTTTCACCTCTGGTCAATGGGGTATGGGAGGCTACAGATGAAGAGTCTCGTTCTGACATTATTTTGGGTAGCTATGCTTGGTTTCATGATAGAGAAAAGAATAAGGGGGTCTGTCTGTTATATATCAGCATCTGACAAGAATACAGGTGTAAGCTAGTGTCGTAAAACAGTGGATTATTCACATACCGGTACTCAGTAATGCCTAAGTGCAGAAAAATATGGTTTAAATTAGCTCGGTTATTTTAGTGAGTAATCAGCATGGTATATTTTAACTGTGGTAAGGTGTGATGTGAGAGCTAAAACTATAACCTGATTAGGTATGATCACTGTGTATCGGTCGTGTATTAGTAATCCGCTTGGGCGGTTCCGATGAATTGTGGTATCAGAGCTCCTCGATCATTCCACATAGAGCCGGGTAGTTTTTCAAATCTACGCCTCAAAAGTTACCAACAGAGAATGTGCAAAGTTCCGACATGCAACAACCCGGCGATTCTCCCTGCATATGCGCGATTCGTGCTGATAACGCAACGTACACTGTGGCTTAAGTGTGGAGTCGTTATCAGAATCTGCCGGCCTCCCAACGTGAGCTGTAGATCTCGAGTTTTTTTTTTTTTTTTGAATAGTATTCGCTATATTCCTTTATAATGCTCTGTGAATTTCTAAATTTAGTTTATTTAGAAGAACTGCGGGTCCGCTTTTTAAGCGAAACTAGAGATTGTCGTATTGCAACATGGGCCGATTTGTACAGGACCAGTTCACCGTCCCTTATTTCTAACCTCTGGACTATCATAGTATAAAGATACACAGCTTCCATGGGAGGCTGTGCAATATGTCTCCTTGTAATACTTGATTATGGTGCCCCATATACCTACATTCATCTGGATTATACTTGCGATCGACTGCGATTCGTGGATACTAAATGGATGGTTGTATATCTTAGTTTCAAATAGTCATTCTGGAGTGGGCGCATAGATATTTCAATTTCAGGATTCATTTAATTCGCACATCCAATTTTTCAAGTCAAGTTCATGAACCACCAGGAAGGTTATATTTTAATTCCTAAGCGCGTTACTAGTTGCCTACAGATACCCAGGGTACGTCATTCTTTGACCACACCTGAAGTAACCAGCACTAAGTATTATTTTATCTAATGCGAATTGAGCGAGGTGTCAGCTTAGGAACACGCATAAACATAACGGTAGTGTTTTATTTTTGGCAAATCTTAGCGCTGGATATATGGCTTCAATGACGTAAATCATAAAATATCCAGGCTTAATATGGAATTAGAGGTACATGAAGTACTAATTACAAAGCCGTGAGCTAATCAGAGCATGTATAGGAGGGGGCGGTAGACACCCCTTCCTACACCTATTTGTCTTAGATAAACTATACCCGTAGTTGATTCATGTCGTATGGTGGATATTGCGTAATGTGTATAATGTTCGGTATTCCATAGTGAAAAGGCTGAAGGAAAACGTGGGCGAGACGTATAACCTCAGGCTAATAGGAGCACCACATAGACGTCTAGGTAATCTAGATCTATCCCAGAGGCTAATGAGCGCACTAGGAATCATATGATTGGCGTTGACATTCTTGTGTTGGAGTTTTTCAGTAAGTCGTCCTTGGTAAAACCCGATTTTAATACGCCTAACGCAGGAATGGAAAGTCGCAGTATCTTGGTTACCCCCAGGCCACTGTATAACATTCTACGCGGGATCTTTCATAAACATGAAACATACTATACATTCTACTACGCTCTCTTGGAGTTCAACCAATTGATGAAATCAAAAAACAAGGCAGGCTGGATCTGGCTGTCCTTTTTGGCAACCCACGTCTTCATGGTCTCGGTGTAGACGTCAATGATGTCATCCACCGCATCCTCCTGGCTCAAAATCACTGTCTTGCTCAAGAATACACACGCCTGAGTCCCTGCGTGGGTGTAGCTGGGTGTGACGGTCTTCTTAGCACTGCCGATGCGCTCGTGGATCTCGCGGATCATGTCCACGTATGGCTCGACGTCGGTATCCGCAGCCAATACCACCTTTGCGCGGCACAATTTACCCTTGAGGAGCTTATGGGCCTTTTCCGCAAGCATCTTGTCCTTTGTCAACTTGATCAACGCCAATAGAGGCATCACCATAGTCAACACCAACTCGCTGCCATCCTGCACACGCACAAAAATGTCCAACAAGTCGAGAATTCGTGTCTTGAAGAAGACAATGTCGTCACGCGCCTGTTGGACCTCGAGCTTGCGCTGATTGCCGTTCTTCTTATCGCCAGAGGCAGACGCCATTGCTTCGTGGCGCTGTTTAAAGATGTTTGAAAGGTGTTTGTCAAGACTCATCATCTGCTCGTCGTCCATGGAATCGTCGGACTCTTCTTCCGAGGACATGTCTTCAAATTTAACCTCCCCCGTCTGGGCATCTGCTGGGATCCCTAACGCCTGTGCCAAAGCAATGTTGGTGTTTGTGTCGATTTCTTCTTCACCCTCAGTGTCACTCTCACTCTCACTTTCTTCTTCTTCTTCTTCTTCTTCTTCTTCTTCTTCTTCTTCCTCTTCTTCACTCTCTTCCTGCTCCTCGTTTTTATCCTCTTCGTTTCTGCTTTCCCCCTCAAAGAGACTCTGTTGGCCCTCCTTATTCTCGCGAGTGTACAACACATCGTACAACAACTTCAAACACTCATCGTCCACCTCTTGGGAAAACCACTCCCAAACGACGGAACACAACCGGCGCAACAAGGCGCTCTTGCGCGAGAGGAAACTCAAGATAATCTCGGTCAAAATCTGCTTCGATGATCCCTGCTCCTCCTCGTCCAAACCGTTGTCGTTTATGAACGTCTGGAAGCACACTTGGAGCTCATCGAGCACCTGGAACGACTCCTCGTCCGCTTGATAGAACTGGAGTAACACCATCGAAAAGAGAAGCTCGAACGAGATCAACTGTGAGTTGTTTTCGTACGCCTTGTTCCCATTCGAACGCTTGACGCGAATCTTGCGCAACGTCTTTAGGGCCTTCTCCTTGACCGCGACAAGCTCGGTGTCCTCAAGCTCGTTTCTCAACGTGTACTTGGCGACGTCTGGGTTGGTGGAATCGTCAGTGTCCGAGAGCTTCACCACGGAGTTGAGTGCCTTGTATGACCAGGTCTTGTTGTCCGGGCGCGGCAACTGGATGATGTCACCTAAAACAGAATTCAAGCGCTCGATGGCCAACTTGGACACATTAGCATTGAAGATCAACTGAGACTGCGGGGTCTCCTCCACCGGCTTAAAAAACGAGAGGATAACCAACCGGTACATGATTTCGTCAATCCACAAGTTAGACGCCGCGTTAAAGGCTTCTTCCCTCGCGTGGTGGTTTGGAACAAGTTTCTTTGCACGCACAAGCTGCAAAAGCGAGTCCAAGGCCCACCGTTGCACCTTCTCAACTTCCTTTGCATGCTGATCGCCTCCCATATGACTGTCACCCAGTTTATGCACATACTTCCCAGCATTAAACAACACGTCCAAATACATGCCGCGCAAATTTGTAATCACGCACTCACCAGAGACCCGAACCCCGTCAAAGTCTACAGAAACACCACCGATGAGCTCCGCCACCGTCTTGCTCTTGGTAAGCTTGTCAAACTGCAAGCTCCCGTGCGCACTGAATAACAACTGCTGTACCACCGGTACAATCTTTGCCTGCTGTTGCGCCAAAACCAGCACCAACTGCGCCAACGCGTGTTTCGCAGCCTTATTCAACAAGCGGCTACTCTGTGCAGCCTGATTGATTAAACAGCGCATAAAGTTACCAGTAAAGAGGGTGTCAATCAGCGCTGCCGGAGTGCGCACGACAAACTTTTCAAACAACTGAAAGCCCCAGTACTTGCGTTCCGGCGACGATTGTTGAGAGAAAAGAGTTTCGTCGACAATGGCCTTGTAGAACTCTCGGATGGAGATGGTATCGGACTCGACCTTGGCCTTCTTGTTCAGCTTCTTCGAGCTCTTCCTTCTCTTTTTGGACCCCGTCTCTTCATCGTCGTCATCACTTTGCTCACACGGCTGGACCAAGAGCTCGACAAGCAAGTCCCACACAAAGTGCAACCGCGGGCTCCAGGATCCCTTTTGCTTTGCCTGGTTTTCCTTCTCCTTCGCCTGGTTTTCCTTCCCCTTCTTGTCATCTTTCTCGGGTTGCTCGGATCCACCGTCCTTCAACGCCTTTGCAAGCTGGACCAAGTTCCCCTTGGATAATGGATCGTTGTTCTTCCAGGTCATCGCGTCGATAATGCCCGTCAGCGCCAAAAGGCTATTTCTGACATCCTTTGGAACCACAAGGTAAAGGGCCACACCTTCCGGAGTGAAGTTCATCCCAGATTCATCACACCTCACCAAGACCTTTTCCCAGGCAGCGTTGGTCACGTAAACACCCAAGGATTGCAATGACTGCACAAGGGTGAACACACACGTTTCTCTTAACCAAGACTTGAAAGTTGCCAATTCAAACAAAAAATCGATAAACTTCAAGTAGTACGCATTAACCTGCTTTTCCCCAGCGTCAATAAGCATTTCAGGGTTGTTGAGAAGAATCTGTAGTCCAAACAAACGCCCAAACAAGAGCCCGCGCTCCTCCTTCCCGTTCTTGACATTCTTGGAAAGAAGCGTGTTTGCGAGCAATTTGTCGAGATACGCGTCGAGAGTAAAGTTCTGCACCGTCTTGATGCGGAGGTTTAAAACTTCCGTCAAGGCCATAGAAAACCCGATACGGGACGATGCTCTGGAGGAAGTTAAACCCTTGATGAGGCGCTCCGTCGCGTACTCCCATTCCTTGAGGTCATTCGCAGCTTCAAGCTCCTGGATAAGGTTTGTAGCCCCACTGATCCGCTCACCCTCTAAGTCGGACGAGAGGAGGTAGTAATGGTCTTTGGAAACCCCAGTCATGTTGAGGTTTAAAGAGAGAGTGATTGAAGTGAAAAATATAAAAATATTTTCATACCGCATCTCGTTAAATGCATCACGTGAGTTGCACGTGATATGCATGGCAGATTAATATTGGAAATGCAAATGTTCAGGCCGATCCATAGGCCACTTTTTAGACGTTTAGATTGCATTAGCGGCGGGAGCTATTCAGTTTCCAATATCGCAGAGGCTACATGTGTCTGTTGTGGTTATTATGGTACCTGTGGCTATCCATGTTGCATGTTCTTGTTGCATATTGTGAATTGTTAGCTTATTGTTCTTTCAGTTATGGCAGATGGGGCACGAAGATGCGGAAATACCTAGATTTGAAAAGAGGCCTCCGATAGATTGAAATTATTACAAATAGCACATTTGATAGTATTTTATAATAGATACTAACCACCCTCTGTTCTGATCCGTATTCATTGCGGTTACATCTCCGTTCGTTACTTTTGTAAGCTCTGTCACGTGATAAACGAGAATGGGTCGCAACAGATCCAAAGTTAACCCTCTTGAACTCCCTAAACCTCTTTCTGATACTCTGAATCCATAAATAAAACGACAATTCATACATTGGTTAACCTCTAGCGTATATCTAGCGGATAACCTATTTCGCAGGTTTGTCACTCGGCCTACCATTTTCATCATATGCACACCCCGTTACGGTATGCGTATCGCACGACCACGGCAGATGTGGGGATGCCGGATGTCACGACTCACATGTGATAACGGTGTTAAATACCTCTTCCTTGGAGATTACCCAGTTTACACTCCTTCCGACAGAAACCGCAAAACATCAAAACTCCAAGAGCTCGGAAAATAGCCTCCTCAACCTGTATCCCCAAGACCATCGTTTACAATAATCCATACGGCTGTATCTCCAGAGACTCTATCCACTTAACCATCTCCCTTCAAAATGCTGCTGTACAAGAGGAAAAGAAACGCTATTTTGGCATCACTCGCGGTTACTGTAATTGCAGGGATCGTGTATGCGGTGAATAAACTCTCAACCGAAGAGAACGATATGGAGCTGTCGCGAGAGATGCTGCAGCTCTCCCAACCGCTTACCGAAAAGCGGTACACCACAAAAGCCATTACAGTAGTCCTCACGAGCTCGATCATCGCGGCCCGGTTGCCTCTAGAGGAACTCTTGCACCATTCCAACAACATCGTCTTTGTGTTGCCGCCAAAGCTCCGAAAGGCCGAGCTCTTTGCGGACCAGCGCTTGATGAGCCGGAAGGGTGTGAATGGTGTAATCCACAAGTACAAGATCATTGAATGCGACAATGCCAGGGGCATGTGGTTTGTGGTGAAACACTTGAAGCCCGACACGTTGATCGTGTGTGAAGACGACTTGCCGCTTCATTGTGAGATGCCCCAGGAGATCAACAATTTTGTGCGGGATGTCGTTATTTTGGAGCAGAACTCGAACGCTGTGTATGAATCAGTGATGCCGTACTTTAAGGCGTAAAATCGAAGGATACTGAAATATTTGAAAATTTAGGGAAGTGACTTGTTCCAAAAGACTTTCTCTGGCTGAGTACGCCTTTGCTTTTGGTTTCTAGCTCTCTTGAAGCACCATAGACACTCTAACCCCCGTAGTTAATAGTATTAGAGGCTGAATAAATTGGTACACTGCTCAGTTTTGGGTAGACTTTGATTTTCCAGTATAGACACACCATTATTTATAACTAATCAGAGAATTACCCATTAGGGAGAGTATTTAAATTTTCGTTTCCAGAGCTCAATTCACCTCCGCATTTTACAGTGCTACATATTTTTCCCCTCATACGAACTGCATAAAGCCGAAAATTCCATAAAGCATCGATTGGTCCATTTAGTGCATCACTCCAGCTGGCCTCTACTTGTTCCTATGGCACCCTCCACCCCAGTATACTCCCGTGCTGAAATCTTGAACACATTCCACATCTCCGACAGCACCTTTGTCCTGGATGACAAGGATTGTACTCTCTTCTCGCTCACTCAGAACGAGTGCACGATATTGCCCGGGGAAAAGGGCAGCCCAGCCTCGGTGATTTGTTTGCCCTTCAAACGCATGTTTAAACGTTGTCTCCTCAATAGTCCGAAGCAGGCGGTGCAGTTGGCGGACGGGATCTATGGCCAGAAGAGCAAGAATCGATTCAGGCAGGATACCGAGGCACAGAAATACGTGATTATCGAAATTACGAGTGCTGAGACAAATAGTGTGGCAAAATTACGAGCGCAGTATGGTGAGCTTTTGGAGAGCTTTCTCAAGGCGGAAAAAGAGCTCCGTCGCCAGTACGAACACGAGTATCCGTTTCGGTCCGGGTGAATAAAATGGTAAGAGAAACAATCAGGAATGGGATACAAATAAAAGGTGGGAGAGGATATGATGGGATTTGATGAGGTGACATGTCCTGGATTTGACCGCATCCATAGACCATTCTTCCGATGCCAAAATGTCATATTCATCCTCCAAGAAACATCAGTTAGTGACTGGTTGGTGTAATCCACATACGCTAAAGAGCATGTGATATTTATATTGCACTCAAGAATGATATGTTAATGGGTATAATCGTTATTTACTCAATCCCCCAGAACTGCGCCAATTGGTTGTCTTGCTGGCAATCACTGAGATGTTCTAACTAGACATCTGGATAATCCGTACGCTTAGCTTTATCGTGTAATTGCGATGCTGGAATATATATAAGCCTCGCGCAATGAAGGAAACCCCTATTTTTTTTTACAAAAGTACTCAATCACGTAGCTGCCACTCTGTTGTATCGTCTACATCACCTATTTTCAACTCAGATGAATTGAATTTCCCATGCTCACATAGTCTAAGCCACATTGCCCCTTCCCACCGAAAGTTTTTGCCTGAATCATTGGCTCACTGCCAACAAAGGCCAACCCATCCGCCTGCTTTCAGAGCATATCTCACATTATTTCCTACAGACACTTGTAATTGATATCTTTGTTTGGCATCGTACGCTCTTTCGCCCCACGTTACATACATCTCCCTACAGCTACACGCAGCTTATCTTCGTTTTAACGTGCATTGATGCTGAGTTAGTAGGTAGTTCCCTCGGCCGGCTGGGCCAATCTCTTGTTTGCTGGCGATGCCATCTCCCTGCGTGTGTTAGTAACTCTCCATGTATACATGTTAACAGACATACTTTCTTAGTTCCAATAAAACAGTTTCAATTCCGTAGGATCTCTTCCAGTTGGCCAAGGTGCTGAATCTCTCGATCATCACACTGCCGTCTTCTGGGTTCACACACGGCAAGCTGATCTTGCTGACGAACTTGACAATGGGTGGATGTTCAGGGTAGGAGGCATCACAGGTGATGGACAAACTATAGATGCGGTTTTCATGAACGGAGTGTGGTGGGCCTAAAATAGTGCCGTTCCAGTCGGTCATGGTGATGTCGTCCTGGTTGATCAACCCGTATGAGATGGAGTCGGCAGAAAGCGCCTTCTCGCCCCTCTCGAGTTCCTCGAGTAGTTTGAAGTTACGGGGACTGAACTGTTAGTAACCGAAAACAATGTGAAGGCGTCTTACATACATTTTGGACATGGAAATGGTATAGTGATGGAATGTAAGTGTGGCGGAAAGCGACAGCCGCTTATCGTTTAAGCGTGATACGGAGAGAAATTTCCGGGCGTGGCCCCACCGGGCTAAGAACAAGGGCTCCCTAGCCACGCACACGGCCCTGGAATACCATGCAATATAATGACAATTTTATCGAGTAGCCCGTTATCGGATGATAATTATGTATATATCTCTAGAAGACTGGGTTTAAATATCCTCTAGTCAAGCACACATACAGGTCTGACACGTGTGTACGCTGTTCTATAGCTATGTATACTACCAGGCACCACCACGTCTTGGAGAAATCCTGCTACGGATAGACCTGCTACTCAATACAAGACGTCCTAATATCCTAAGTATATTCAGTTCAATATATTAATGTTTGGTAATTTATTCTTATCGCCTCCGTTCCTAATGTTATTTATTGAGCTATTCCATAGTTTATGTTTGTGTTCCTCACTGCCAGACCTTGGTCGTGGCATTACCAGCATTACGCACTGTTTTGATTTTATGGATCACCCTCAAAAGTGCTCTGCCATCTCCTAGCACTCCCCATCTTAGCTACCCTAGACCATCGATGCCCAACGAATCCCCCCAGAAGCGTTCTCTTGCGCTATCACACGCCTCCATGGCGAGCCCCAAGGAGATGGAGCAGACTATCCATCGGCTCACCTACGAGCTAGAGAATCTCAAGACGGAGAACCAGTTGTTGGTAACAAACGCCGAAGCTACGGAGTATGACTGCGAGAACCGGATCAAGGCGATGGTTGGTGAAAAAACGGCGCTAGAAGCCAGCCAGAACGTGTTATTCGATAAGCACCAGGCCCTAGCCGCCCAGGTAGTGCGGTTGAAGGATGATTTAGCGGGCCTGCACGCGCGGTTGACAGAGGAGACTCTGAATTTGCGGTTTGAGGTGCAGGCATTGCAGGAGGAGAACGAAAACGTTGTTCGCACGAAGCAGGATACCGAAACGAGACTAAAGAGACAGGCGAATGAGCTTTCCAGTACGCTCACGTCGTTGCGTGAAGTCAATGAGCTCCTAGAGACTGAGTTGCTGCTGAAGGTGGAGGAGATCCGTAGACTCAAGCTGGAGCTTGCGGGTGTACAGCTGGTTGTGGCACCCGTGCCGATCGTAACTGACACGACAGACTTTCTCGAGAAAGAGCTTTCCCAGCAGTTGGAGACGATCAAGCAGTTCGAAGCACAGACCAAGCAGCAACAGGAACATGTCAAAGCCCTTACCACGACAGTTCAGAGCTTGAGCTTGGTCAAAGAGGAGAATCGGTCGTTGGAAGCCAAGTTACAGACCGATAGGGACTTGGAGGGCCGCCTTCACGAGCTGGAGCTCCAGCGTCTCGAGCTCCAGAAACAGCTAGCAGGGTATGGTGCCAGTGTCGGTGATGGGCTCTTGACCGAATACACTAAAGTGCGCAACGAGAATCTTGTACTCAACGACCAGATTCTCCAGTTGCGCTCCGAGTTGAAGCTCCACGATAACGAGGTGGACCAAATCATGGGCAGATTCACCGAGTTGGAGACGCTTGTGGACGAGTTGACGGCTAAAAATGCCAAGTTGGACCGCCAGAAGGTGTTGTCTCTCAAGGAAATCGAATCGTTGCGCAAGCAGCTCAAGGAAATTGATGAGTTTGACACTACAGAGCATAAGCTCTTGCATCCGTCCCTGTCCGGCCCCGCCTATAAGGTGCAGTTGCAACTGACCTTGGAGGACATTGAGCAAATCAGATCTGAAAGTGAAAGAGTCCGATCAGAAGCCATATCTGGGCAGAAGCGCCCACGCACCGATTCCCCAGTCAACAGGTCCAGAGCGGAAAAATTGGAGGTACGGAACCTGGCGTTAGAGAACGAAAAAATACAGTTTCTCTCGCGGAACAAGGTGCTCCAAGATGAAGTGGAGCGGTTGCGCAAACAACTAGCATTGGCCACCGAGATCCAGTCACACAAGCAGCAGCGCGTACTTGAATTGAAGAGCAACCCGACGCGGAACCACCAGATGGTGAAGCAGACCTTGCTAGACACCCTTACCCGCGAGAACAACCAGCTTCTCGCAAAGTTGCAGAACCAAAACAAGGAGAATCCTGGCGTTGACCATGTTCCCCGTGCGGTGTACGACCGCAAAATCTTGGAGCAGACGCAGTTGGAACAGCAGGTATCTGACCTGGAAAAGCGCCAAGTGCGGTTGAAGGAGGTATTTAGCAAGAAATCCCTCGAATTTGTCAACACCATCTCCGAGATTTTGGGCTACAAATTGGAGTTTTTGTCATCCTCCAAGGTCAAGGTGTACTCTAAGTACAACGCCCAGCAGTACTTGACTATAGACCCGTACAAAAAGACTTTGAAGATCGGCAGCAATGATGAGGCAGACTTTGAAACTGAGGACGAGTTCGAGCGCCGCTGCAATGGCTTGATTAAGTACTGGGTCGGGGAGAAGGGTGAGATTCCGTGCTTTCTCGCCGCGTTGAGCTTGGAGTTGTTTGAAAAGCGCGTGAGCTAGAATCTAATCATTTGCGACCTTATTGGTCTCATTAGCATACGATACGGGGTGGTACAGGATATGGATAGTAATATCATTTTCGTAATCTCTAGCAATCTAGAATGTTGTTCATAGATGGATATGGCATTTGCTTTGCATAACTATCAAGTTTGTATTAACGTTAGCCTCATAAATATAGTTGCAGGCTTGTGAGCACCTCGTTTCCGAGCTCTTTCTAAACTTGGCTACCGCACCTGGTTATATTCCCACGCATTGCCATCGTTTGCTATTTTCTCAACAAATTCGTTGACC